GCGCAAGCTAGATTAAAGTGATTATTACGTTTTGAATATGGTTATTTTTCTTACAAAACGCATTGATTCACTACAGAAGGCCTTTGTTCACCCCCCGGAGCCGTGTGAGACACTTTTTTTTTTAAGGATGGGCGCTTTTTATTTAACTTCTTTTGGACTGATGCATGCAACACCCGCTGAGTGCCATTAAACAGCTTGAAAGATCAAAGACAGTTTTTAATATAGCTCCGACTGGATTCGTCTGAAAGAAGAAAGTCATACACACCTAGGATGACTTGAGGGCGAGTAATTTATGGGCTAATTTTCATTTTTGGGTGAACTAACCCTTTAATAACTGCAGACTACAAATCAAAATCAATGACGGAGACCGACATGATATGCGGAGAGAAATGAAAGATGTTGTGACTACGAATTAAGAATTTATTCCTACGACTTATTCATCTGTTCCCTCATTTTAGATTAATCATGGGTTATCTAGGGAACAAATGAATGAAACATTAATTTGTGGCCACGGTCCATAAGTTGTAGGAACAAATTAACAAGTTGTAATTAATTATATATATATATATATATATATATATTAAATGCACTCACAGTTGCTTGCACGTGTTTTGCACATGTGCCGCACGCACCCCAAATTGAAATTGCTTAATCGACCATTGATAGCTTTAATCGATTACATCTCTTATCGACAATTAATCGATCACCTGTGTCTTAAAAGTTGATGTGATTCTCTGTGGCTTTATGGTTGTGTCTGTCATTGTTTCTCTTCCCAGGGCCGGGTTGGGGAGAAGTGATGGAGCTTAGGTTATTTTGCGTTCATGTAAACACATTCAGATTCATGGCACTTAAGGTGCCCATGTAAATGTAGCCACTGTTTGGTTCAGGTGTGCTTTATAGCATCCTGGTCATGACCTCTATGACGTTCAATTACTCCATTGGACTGATTTCACACTTTTGCTTCACGACTCAGTCATGCAGAGGCGTTCCCGTAGCATCATAACTTCCGACACAGTGCGAGTTTCCTCGAAAGGCAACAAACATTCTTGACAGAGGAAGAAATCATCCAAACCTATTAGAGTGTTCTTGATATTGTAATGCACCAATATCTCTTTAAAATCGGCAATGTCTTTCCAGGACTCAAAGAAACCATCAACTTTGTCAATAACTGAATCCTCAATCCTGAAACAGAATGCATACAGAGTATAATTAGAAACATGAACACTGTTTGCATGGTAATGCATTTGTGATGAGTTTCATTCTGGAAAACGGAAAAATTCTGTGACAAATCAACAAGGACTGTGGCCATGACTCAGTCCCCCAAACTTACGCTATCCAGAAATTCCCTTTAAAATCTGAATCTTTTCTTCATCAAACTGGACTTCTTTAGGAAGTTCACCCAGTTTGCCGTCTATGAATACATAGCACTCATATTACACATATATAAAAAAAACAGTGTTTAAGGCATGATTCAATAACTGAATTTTAAAATCAGATAATATTAATAATAATAATGCTTCATTAAAAACTGGATAATGAACAAAGCGAGTCTGTACGTACCAGTGCCTTCTCGGATAATCACTTCTTTTTCGTCTACTAACCAGCAATAACAGGGGAACTCAAAGCAGTCTCCAGAGGGTGTTTGCACTTTGATATGCTTACAAAACCATGGAAAATTGACTAGATGTTTCTTCTTTTCAAGTTTCACCTGGACAATGTCTCCAAGGTCCTTCTTCACGAGGATGTCGAAAGAGATCTCCTTTAATGACAGCTTTCATTAGACATTCATGTTGTTGTGAAAAACAAACAAACAAACAAAAAATCTCTCCACAGGCTTTGGTGAAGAGGAATTTATCCTAATTGTGCCACCTTGCTTATCTGCACTATCAGGATACACAGCGAGCAGTGATGGCGGGCCCAAGCATGACAGTGCCGTCGCCTCCTGGTGGCTCAAGGAAAACAATGCACAATGAGCACATGTATTTAAGAGGGTAAATAAAAGCCTGTTGTAAATGACATAATTCCTGCTGCCAGTTGGTGGCACTATGACCATGACTCAAAATAGCCACATCCATATGATCCAAACATACAACACCAATTTGATCTAAGTCATGGTCAGCGCTAGGGAGGAGCTAGCAGGTGCTTCAGCACCCCCAAGAAAGACCAAAGCACCCCTATAGCACCCCAAAAAAATAAAATAAAAGCATTTGACTCATAATGCATGCATAACTTGTGCAATGCAATATAAAGTGACATTTGCAGTCGCACTTTTCGTAATGTCATAGCATTTTATTTTATCGGTTCCTTGTGCACCCAACTAAAGATTTTTCAGCTAGTCGCACGTTTATATTAAATTGATTAATATAATAATCTACTAAACAATCCTTTAGGCATATAGGCGTATTATAGCCTATTCCGTGCTCAAGCGCGCGCATAAAGCTTGCCACAAAGCACCGGCAAAAGTAATGATTATGAATGTGCCAGGGAAAAAGAAGACATTTTATTTATTTATTAATAAACTAGTGCTTTCTCAGTCAGTGTCGGCTGCAAAGAGGAAGTTACCGAATGCCGCTCCATTTCATGGAGACTGGCAGAAGGCGCATCCTGTTCATTTTCTCAATTTTACAAAAGCTCAACATTTTGGTGTTATTGTGAGTGTACACAAATAAAAGCAGAAATAGTTTTTTATGAATGATGATGTAGACTATTTGTGTGACCAAAAATGACGGAGTAGCCTATTTTAAGTTCTTTCCGCAGGAAAAAATGCAAGAGATTGCGCGGGCGCATCCATGTCATGCAGTAAGCGCGATAATACTCCCACACTTCTCATAAACACTTGATATGCACATATATAGCGCATATTCATCTAAATTAACGTCAGAGTGAACCGCCATATAACAGCCCTACTCCTTTCCATATGTGAGAGATCTTTGTCCTGTCTCCTACACTATATGACACATCAGAGAAGCAGCTGTGGCGATGCCCGAAACAGCAGCTTGGCACATTTGGCCATCAGTGCACAGGTTTGTGACTGTAAATAGCAAGTAAATACTGTATATCCCCAGTGCTTTCTGATGTCATATTGCCTTTGACTCACATTCCGAAATGCTTTTAGAATTTTAGGCGGACTGTATAATAATCTTTGGGTACTGACTGATCTATGTAGCCTACTTGATTGATTTCATAAAACGAAAACATTTTAATGAAATTGTGATGAGCCAAATAATCATGTAATAAAATGTTACAAAATCGAGTGGGCGATTTATTTGATCATTCATAATAATAATAATAATTTTGTGAAAATCAGAGAAATGATCTAGGAGGAATTCAAAAAAGCATGTTTTTCAAGAAAACTCAAAACGGCGGATAGCACGTTCAGCCGACTATGGTGTAATTGGTATTATTTTTCTTAACTACAGGCTACAGCGCCATCTATTGGATTTTACTGACATTGCATCAAATTAGCCATTTTTGGACCACCTCCTCACGGGTCGGATGAAAACTCTCGGGGGCCGTAGTTTGCCCACCTCTGTGCTAGAGGGTTTGACATAATGACTCCAAATTTGCTACAGCATCAGTTCAGACTGTCTTGCATCGGTGTGCCAAATGTCATACGTTTCCTATGTGTGGTTCTATGGGCTGCCAACAGAAGAATAAGAAGACTAAAAGGTACAATAGGTGCCTATGCAACTTCAGTGCTTGGACCCTAATAATAGAACAATCTTTAGTAGAACAATAGGGCATTTTGGACAAAGTTTAACAATATGCAAAGCATTTTTAAATTCAAGCTATACTAATATTGAGTGGAAGGATGTTTGGAGGTTGACTGGGAGATACAGTCTCACTCAAATTTATTTTAAACGTGATATTTAAACACCAAAATGAAAATGCAGTTATCTGAGAAAGATATTGTGCTAATGTTTAAGCACATGAACACTGGTAAGAATAATAAAATCTTAATAAATCTATTTATTGGGAAACACCATATTCAAAAGCAGAAATGGGCAAATGCTAAACCCAATATCCACCACTCTAAAACAGAACTGATGCATAATATTGAGTTGTTACAATACTTAGAAATCAAAAAAGCAAAGAGCATACCTATTGAATATTTGAAACTCTTTCTCTTACATTTGATACGTTTACACATAGGTGCACAAACAAGACACAAGAAGACGAGACAAAACCCTGAAACACTTGCTTTACCCTTTCTTATATATATATATATATATATATATATCTCATAGTAGTGTTTATCATGCTACT